TTTCGGCAAAGTCTTCAATGTTTCTGGTGCTCCCATTGTTACGCCTGCTTCAATTACCCCAAAATCAATGACGTAGATTAACAAATGGTAAAAAAACAAGACAGTCTCCATTAGAAATAGTCATCAGCGTTCTCCAGTCATCTCTCATCACAAATTATCCTGGAAGGACAAATGTAGTAGCTGATAATGATTTAAGTCAGAGATCTTGTCATATCAACTAAGTCATAAATCACAAGCTAATTTATCTTCAGGTCCACAATACATTCCCAGAAGGGATATAACAATCTATGAAGCAAGAATTTGCTCCAACCCCAATTAACTCAATTTTATTATAACACACCAAGTTACCAGCTAATTTATCTTCAAGACCCCACAAAGATTCCAGACTCAAGGTAGAGATGTAACAACCAACAGAGAGTGGAGTAAGAAAATTGCCCAGAGAAGTTTAAAGGTTGTCAATGGCTCAGCTGCTAATTAGGAGGACTTACCGACAAAAAACTATTTTAAAGCAATTAACAACATTAACAACAAATTGAAGTCTTAAATGCCTTGCAACAGTATTGTTTGAATTACAAAACCAGAAAACTTACAGGGTCCCAAAGCAAAAGTTGGCGCACTAACCGCATTGCCCAAACATTTGGAAACCTGCCAACATGGTGATAAAAAGAATATGTAAAGATATAACACAATCTTCAGAATAATAAAATTACATAGGCATGATTATCATAATTCACCCCAGTTTAAGAGGATCTCGACTCTTTATTTGTTGAGAAAAGAACTCCTCAGAGCATTTCCAAGAAGCAGGCGACAATCTACCCTGGATTCCCAAAAATGAAATTCAATGAGTACATGTCAAAGCTTTAGGCCCTTTTTAGAAGGGTTATTTTTGTAGGAGGGGATTTCTGATTCACTTTCTAAGTTTTTTTTCTCATTAATATACATTTCTACCTTTCCTATCCAAAAAAAAAAAAAAAAAAAAAATCAGTACATGTCAAAGCTAGATCTTGACAAGGATACTATGCTTCAAAAAAGACAATTAGCGTATCATACTCTTTTAAGTACAATAATCCTCTAAAAACAATGGATAAAGCTTTATAAACACCAGGCCTAACTCACTCTGCAGTGATACTTCAGCACTTATTTCTACTGACAGCCATGAAATCTTCACTGCTAAATGCATCCAAAAATGAACCTTAATCATTAGACAAATAACATAATGTTCAAGACCATGAATTGTTTATAATATTCTTGACTGTCAGAACATAGTCATACAATTCTATCTGGGTCATTCGGTACAACTCTAGACCTTGCTTTAAAGCACAGACAGTCAGTGGTAGACATTCCAAATTCTAGTTTATTTGGGCTCCCTCTGATTATAAATTGGATAGAAGAAGAAATGACAACTAGTAACCTCAAAAACTTTGGGGTTGAAGGTCAATACAGAATACAGATACTCTTCAACTTGCTTGCTTGTCTCCTTGACCACAAATTAAAGCATGAAAGGTAATAACACCAAAATTTAAAATCCACATCAGAAAGCAATCATGAAAGTCAGCTATGCCATTGTCTATAATAGGAACCATCAAACCACACTTTTTACCTAAACATATCAATAAAGAGATGAAAGAAAGAATGAAAAAAGAAAAGTCACATAGATAAATGCTCAATAATTTGTTGTCCCATAAACACGACCTAGTTTAACATAGAACAAAGATATACTTACTTGGTTTGTACTGCGCATATGCTTCAAGGAATTGCCAGGGATTAGGATACACAATTCCATGAAAGATCTAAGCCTGGCACAACCAAACATTCACCAAATCACCAGTGTCAGCATCTATCACTAAAATATGCAAAACACTCACTCCCCTTACAACAAGTAGAACAGCATATTAATTTCTTAATCATTAAAAAATAAAAAAAAATAAAAAAAATAACCAAACAAACAAACAAAATTTTGAAGGCCCACACACACAATATCTTCATAATTTTATGGATCTTAAAATCAATATTTCAACATTAAAGTGAACAAGCTTCATACAATTTAGATATAAATGGATACTACTGAGCAAGAAATTCCTTTGTAGATGTCAATTATCAGATTTGCTGCCAATAAATAAGAATATAAAGAAGACTAAAATGTATATTTAACCACAGAAATAGGATAAAGTATTACAACACATGGTACCCCCTCCCTCTTTCATATTATATATTGATAAATCAATAAATAATCTTTTTCATTATGGGATCTAGAAGATTATCAAATATATTTATGCTGAGATGTGACATCCTTTTCATAATTGAGAAGCAGAAAAAGGGTTAAGTAGCTCTTGTTATTTTTAGTACTAATGTGCCATAATATAGGAGTCCTCTAGAATTATATGTACATATTTTAAAACAGAAAGTTAATAAGAGTTTCTTCAGAATATAGCTGAACAATTTGAATTCAGAACCTTAATTATCAAATTAAATATGGAGTATAGAGTCTAAAAAATTATCAAATATTGAATGTGAGATACAGATCCCAAATTTCATAAAGAAAAGACAAATAAATAAAGGCAGTTAGTATTTTTAAGTTGAACGCAATATTCTCAGCAACAACTCACTTGTAAGCAAGCTCCTTCAATTCATCATTCCAGCCCTCAAGATGGCGATCCAAAAGAGAGCGCGTCAAGGCACTTATCTGAAAAACATCTGGTGATCCTAAAATCAGCTCTAAGATTACAACACCAACGCTCCACATATCATACCTATGCAACAAAACAAGCAATGCAATAAATTATTCCAACCAATACAAAGGGAAGCATTCTAATTCAACAAATGAAACTAAGTGTTCAGACAGAATAAAGATATTGTTGAAGATAGACCAAGATGCAAATTTTTATATCACTTAAAATGGAATATGACGTACTTCAAAGTTGTGCCCGTTGGATCTTGATACCAACTAGCATTGAGAAAAGCTTCAGGAGGAGCATATTCATAAGTTTGTTCAGCTCTAGCAAAATAAAAAATAAATAAATAAACACCCATCAGGACCTTTTACTATGATTCAAAAACAGGAAACAAAAAGAAACACTCCCAGAAATGAGATACCTAGAAGGTCCAGTCGATCCATACAAATGCTTCACTGTGAACTCATCTATGGCACTACCAAAGTCGATGATGCGCCTAAACAATTAGTTAAAAGGGTATGAATAAATTACCCCTAACATAGATATAACAAAAGGAATATGCAACCATCAAGAAAATTATAATCTAAAGCATGTATATCCCTTTGTCATATTTAATTAGGTGATAAATGCTGTCAACAACATTTTACTGCTCACTAATTATAGCAAGAGAGAGGAAAATAGAACAATATTACATTGAACATACATTTATATGCTACAAATGGCACCATGAAAGGAAAGAGGTCCTATTGTGAAATGTGAATACACTACGCAAGAGAACAATGTAACACATGAAAAAAAGAGAAAGGCAAAAATTGAAGGATGAACATAGCAGTCAGAAATTATAAGATGCTGCAATTTTGTTTGTTACTTTCTTTTTTCCTCCAAGCATCAATAAGAATAAAAAATAATAGCAAAAACAGTCAGGGAAAACATGCAGATTGTCGAGGGTGTTCACTAATTAGTTGAAGAATTAAATGACAAGTAAAGGATTCAAAGTCATTACTGAAATTCCAAATAAAAATATCGCTGGCAGTATTACTAAATACTAATATAGTCTAAAACTGAATATTGTAGAGCATTGGGTTATCAGAAATAAATGAAGCAAACTAAGAAGATTCTACTTGGGCAGTTTACATGATATTGGGAAAAAAGTCTTCTGTAGGTAGGATAGTCTTTCAACGCACCAAAGAAAAGAGCAGAAGGGTTCAAAAAGGGTAGTTGTTACCCTGCTTGAGGCGTCTGCTCATAATGCTATATGGTATCACAACCTATCATACTTCAGCTAAGTAAGTGGAACAAACTTGAGCTGAAAAGCAAAATTTCACTTATACCAACATACATTCTGGTGGTAAAATTCTTATCTTCACTTGGAGTTCCTTTCAAACATTTCCCAGTGTTCCAATCTTCAAAGCATATCACCATGTTTTCTTCCAATAACAAATATAAAAGCATTCTAAGTTAGCATAATCCATAAAATACTTATTTTGCCATAAATGATGTGAAACATGATCAAAGAAATGACAATTCAAGAAAAAGAAAACGGTAGATTTATACCATATAAATCCAGTTGCAATATAAAGGGCATATTTATGTTATATTATCTCAAAATTACTTCCCTAAATTTTACACGGCATCACAGATGAATGACATGAGATAAATAATATATTGAAAAAGTGTTTTCTCACCCAGATCTCTGTCTCCACCCCCACACCCTCACTCTTGCCTGTGAAACTGTAACTCTCACAGCATATAGTCATTATAAATCATGGGATTCACAGATGCGTGGTCCTCAAAGCATGGTTAAACGGTTTTCAACTTATGTAGCATGTACACCAAGGATTGTGGGGGAGGATCATGAAAGCTTAGTGCATATACAGAAGTTCTCATATGGAAATCAATTTGACCAGCCAGCAGGACATAAGAAACAGGAGCTTGGACCAACCAAGGGCAGCCAATAATGCCATTTTAGACTCTTATTTTAATCATATTACTTGATACTCATAATCTATGATGAAAAAATGAATTATTGTGCTCACCAGGTTTGATATCCCTGTGGGTGATATTGCGGTCATGACAAGACTTGAGTGCCATCAACTGTGAAAGGAAAAAGAAAAATACATCAAGTACTATATGACTGATTTCAATGCTTATCATTATAAAGAACAAGAAAAAAAAATCTAGCCTAGTGCAGAAGCTGAATAAAAGGAAGAGAAAGGACTAATATGGCACATAAGTGCTCAAAAACAAAACTAATGAAACTATCTTTAATGGAAGGAAAAAAAAAACCCAATACAAGTCTCATAGATAGAGACTAGAAATGAATAAATTTAAAACTCAAAAACAAGCATGTTTATTGGGTCGAGCGGCGATGGAGAATATAGCCAAGGGCATTGAATTACAATTGAACAATGTTGATAGTAGTACCAAACTTTGGACAAACATAGCAAACTTTTGAGGGAAGCTTTGTTTATTAAAGCATTTAAACTCATCCTATTAACAATAGCTTATTCGCCTAGCAGAGGAATGACAAATCTTTGAACAACAAAATTCAGTACAAACTGCAGAGCTAACAAAAATAAAAGCCATGTTAACCATCCAATCCATGCAATGTTCACGCAAGAATGAAAAATGAAAAATAAGCCAAAGTAATATTAAAGTGGTGACAATGGAAGATGCAAGCTAATATTGGCATGCAGACATACCAACTGCCATATAAGATTGCGCATTTCCTCTTGTCCTGCTTCTGTTGTCTTCAACCAATGCCACCATTTTGATGGACGCAGTACCTGCACATGTTTGACCTCTTCAACATTTTCTTCATCAGGATGACTTGCTGCTTCTTCCACAGTATATATTAGCTTCGACAAGGACACACCTTCATAATGGAATACCAGCCATATTTCATTAGATTGAGATTCAAAAGACTCCACATATCTTGCAATATGGTTCAAACCTTCCTCAAAGGAAGCTCTCTGCAATCTAAATTTGTTCGTAAAGTCGTTATCAAAACTCCAGCTGTTTCCACAGTCATGGAAAGATGATTCATTTGTCTCTAATAGGTCATCATAATATGATCTTGATTCTTCTGGAAAAGGTTCTGATATTCCAGACAACAGTAAACCTCCAAGACTCTTCGAGGCATTTAAAAAGAGCTCACCAAAATACTTCTCTCGCAGACCACTTAAGTAAACATTGGTCCCTCTCTCCACCTGTTTAAGGTAATCAACTCTATTAAAATAAATTGCCTACAAAAATCAAACTCAAAAAATGGACAACGTAAAAAGCAAAAAGGCAGCAATTAAAAAAAAAAAGGATCCAGATGACCAGTCAGAGAAAAAGGTGAGAAATACCGAAATAATATGAACTTGTCAAACCAGTAATTTGAAGGAGAAAGTAAATATAGTAATAAACCAATTACATTCTACAAATTATGAAATTCATTACTAGAAAAAAAATTAACTAGTAGAAGATTAAGTATAATTGTGTCACTAAAAGCACAAGCCATGTAAGCAAGAATAAAATTGATTGCATTTCACAGCATAAAATTTATAAACATTCTTGCATATACATTTCGTATTGCTAATAGACCTTATCAGGCCAAAATTTTTTTTTTTTTCTCTAAATGTATGATTTCATTCTCATGAAAATTTATCATGCCAACAATCCAAGCCCAAAGAAGTACAAAAACACAGCACAAACCCTCTTCCTAGCTAAAGATCCAAAAGAAGAGAGAAAATAGGTGATTAAAAATTTGAGTAATACTACACTTACAAAGAAATTTTACAAAGATCTCCATACAAAGTGATGTGGCAAAAAATAAATGGAAGAGTGAATTTAATGAGTTGAACTTTTTGTTTCACTCTTCCATTCATTTCTTGCCACCTCACTTTATATGGAAATCTTTGTAAGTATAGTATTATTGTAAAAAATTTTGTTATTGCATATGAACTATTCTCTCTTAAATAAACAGAGACAGAACAATGTGATGACAATCATGCCAAATTTTCCAAAATAATGGAAAAAAGGACCACGAGTAGGATCTCTAACATAAATCACATCTTCAATTTTCTTTTTTTCTTTTTTCTTTTAATAAGAATCTGTAGAACTATATTAAAGAAGAAATTGATGACACAAACAAAAATAGGTCAAACATAATATCCTATTTCCCATCCCACAATAAGCAAACTAAACAAAGTTAGCCCAAAACCCCTCCTGATTAAAATGTATAAATAAAAAAGAAGATTCCTTAAATTCCTTTGGAAATGAAGCCCAAATAGAAGCAAAAGGTCTAACTCTCTCCCATAAAGCCTCATTGTTATCGTCTCCTTTCACTTCAAAATACGATTATTTCTTTCTTGCCATAAAACCCAAAGAAGAGCTAATAAGACACATCTCCAAACAGTTCTCAAAAAGAAAAAAAACATTCTCTGTTAATGAAGAATCGCAAGAACTTGGAACTTGGAATAGCCCATGATTCCTGGATTCTTTACAACCATAGCCCATAACTATGAAGCCATAAAACACATCTTCAATTACATTCCAGAATGCAAAGCTATATTATTTCCTTAAATAACCATCTGCTGCCTTGAATGCTTCATGCCCTCAAACATGGAAATTGAGATACATCCCTCATTGATGTTTTGTGAATCCAAGTCAAAGGCAGTATAGTTGTTGAGGGATAATCTCAACAATAGTTACCTCTAAAACTCTGAATATGATATAGTGTGTGTAAAATATAAAATAATAACAAAAATATAAACACCACAAAGAACAAGGGCAAATCTAGAAGATAGTACATATTAAATGCATAGTTCCTTGCTTCAAAAATACATCATCTCCAATATATCCTAATCAAGAAATCCAGCAACAAGAGATGCCAGTACTGAAATAAAGTCAATAATACTTCAAAACAAATGACAGGATACACGAAATGCCAGTCCCCACAACTGTATTTATTGTGACACTATCGTCTCTGTCAACCAATTGTACATCTAGTGTGACCAAGTAACTAGAAAGTTTCAAGGCTCGATGACCAATTGAGTATATTAGGCTTCATATAAAATATTTATATTTCAATTAAGTTAAAAAGATTTCACTTTGACCCAATACCGAGAACAATGCTTAATGAACTATGATGAAGTCATCGGTAAACACTAAATTGAATACAAACTTCTTTTAAAATTTAAAATAAAAAAATAATTTATATCAATTGAATAACTTACCATTATACGTTTCAAAATGAACAAGCCATCATTAGAAGAACCAGCATGGCAATCATTGGTTGAGCCATTTTGCAAATTTCTGGTATGTGATTCTTCAAGAATGGTATCGTCTGAGACATTTTTACTTTTTTCACTCGAGTTTGAGGCATCACTGCCATTTTGACAGTTCCAATGAAAGGCCAGCCATACTTCGCCATATGATCCACGACCAAACTTTTTCTTTAGAACATACCTAATAATCAATATGTACAGAGTGTTTTTATAGGCTTGTCTGACTAGAAAAATGAAACAAGAAAATATAGGTAAATATAAGATTATTTACAACAGTGAATAATCATTAACATAGTAACACTCATTTTTAACAACCCAAAATAGTGCAAAGGAAGGCATATCTTTTGCCTGTCCCACTCAAAAATCATTGCCTGAATCTATGTTACTACCAAATATTATACGATGTTCAATGAGCACCTTTTGATGAGTTCATATCACCTTCCATGAGTCCCAGTACTCTACCTTATTAATTTATGCCTCGTGTTTGAGCAGGAGTCAAAATAAATGTGTTCATATAGATACATAGCAAGTCAACTCTAAACCAAATTGTCCATATACAATGGCCTGACTGTAATTAAAAACCATGCATCAGTTGTGCTTGATTGGTGCTACGTGCATCATTTCACAAAGGCTACCAGGACACATTTATTTTATCCACATAAAGATAGGCATGCCTTTAAGCATAAAGGAAGTACATAACCTGCATGCAGGTAAATGAAACAGTTTTCAAGTTTATCTTTCTCAGTAATTGCAACCTTTAATTATTTGATGGTTCTATAAGCTGCGGGTCACAAGGAGAAAAAGCTGAATAGAGAACAGATATGTACCTCAAGTCAGGCATTGCATTCTCATTTGATCCATAATCTGAACCAGCAGTATGGAAGGGTATTGATTCAAGCAAACCAAGGAAACTAGCAAAGCCTTCAGTATTGATGCATTGATCTTTACTTCCATCTACAGTCATTCCAAAATGCAAGCAAATATTCTGGTCGTTATAAGAATATAGAGGTCCACCTAGACAAAAACAGAAGAAGAAGAAGAAGAAGAAACAGAATATATTAATCCTGAACAAACAAAAACATGACATACAAAAAATGTGAGCCAGAAGTCCACCATGGAAGCAGCAGAGCTGTCAAAGCTCAAAAGTCAAAATAGAACTCTCCAAAAAACAAAAAACAAAAAGCACTCAGAAAATAATAAAAATAGTGTTACAATTTTCATTATTGAAAAAATAGAAGTATTCTTGAATGCAAAGGAAACTGACACCAAAGAGAAGCAAAGAATCAAACTTTATCCCACAATAAATCAGCCTCATCATCCTTAGCCATTGAAGTGGTTTTCTATCCAGCCACATTGATGTTCAAAGAATAGTTGTCTTAGTTAAATTAAACTTCTATTTTTTTTTTTTTTAATTAGGATTATCAAATATTGTTTTATTAAAATTAGGATTATATCTAATCCAGTTTTTCAAGACCTATGAGTAAAAGCTTCTTTCATTATTGTTTTTATGCATGATTATTTGACATGGAATAAGATATTGATTCTCTCCCTATAGATTGTTTCTTTCTCATTTTTTCTAGCATTTCTCCTTTTTCTTGCTATTCTTTCCCAACTATCCTTCTTGATTCTCTTTTATCTATATCTTTATCAACTCTCCTTTTGCCCCTCTATCAATTTGTAACAAAGCAGTTTTGATTTCTTCTTAAAGGCTTGTGCCCCAAAACCCTAGACCAATCAAACCCTAAATTCTTCCAAAATATATAAAAAAAAAAAAACCCTAATTTCTCCCATCCAATCCTCTCCATAAAATCGAATTGCAAAAAAAAAAAAAAAAAAAAATCAAATTGCACAAAAGCCCAAGCTTCCACTATCAAAACTACGTTGAACCACTGCCCCATGCATCACCATCACAACCTTAGTTGAAGAATCAAGTCCAAAAACCAATTGGAAAATTCCCTACATACCACCAAAAGTTGAGCCGCCGTACTAGATTCCATCCACCACCTAAGTTTTCACCACCCATCCCAAATTCCTAGTTGCTGGTCTGTCTAATGACACCTCTCCAGCTTCCTTCGGACGCTGCAAGTGATACACACGCGCTCAGGTTTTGGTTTATGTCACTTCAGACCCTTCATGTTTCAAATACTTTCAGTTTAGTCATGTTTGTGCCTTGAAAAAATAATGTTGACCAAAGATGAACTTAAGCAAGCCATCAGGCATTTCAACCGATTTAAATACCTAAAAACCAAGCCTTAGTGCAGATGATGCTCTTATTCCTCTTACAGGTACTAACATTATCCCTGACCCTATTCCTAAGGCTCCTGTTACAGGTCTTACTTCAGATTCCTCTCATGTTACAGTCCTACCTTCTGATGATTAGTTTCCCATTGCCATTCGTAAAGGTATGCGATCCACTCGCAACCCTCATCCGGTTTATAATTTTCTTAGTTATCATCGATTATCTTCACCATATTTTGCTTTTGTGTCCACAATTTCGTCTGTGTCTGTTCCTTCCAATATTCATGAGGCGTTGACCGATCCCGGGTGGCATCAGACAATGGTTAAAGAGATGTCTGCTTTGCATAATAATAACACTTGGGAATTGATTCCTTTGCCTCTAGGGCAGTCGACTGTTGGTTGTTGTTGGATTTATACTGTCAAAGTTGGTCTAGATGAGCAGGTTGATCGCTTAAAGGCTCATTTGATAGGCAAAGGGTACACTCAAACTTATGGGTTGAATTATTATGACACTTTTTCTCTTGTGGCGAAGATGTCTTCTATCCGCTTGTTTTTATCTATGGCTGCCATCCGATAATGGCCTCTGTTCTAATTGGACATTAAGAATGCATTTCTGTATGGTGAGCTTCAGGAAGAGATATATATGAAGCAATCGCCTGGTTTTGTTGCTCAAGGGGAGTCTACCTTAGTCTATAAACTTCGTCGCTCACTGTATGGCTTGAAGCAATCTCCTCGTGCCTGGTTTGGACGTTTCAGTACTGTCATCCAAGAGTTTGGTATGGTGCGGTGTGAGTCTGATCATTCGGTCTTCTATAAATATACATCAACGGAGCAGTGCATCTATCTGGTTGTCCATGTCAATAATATTGTCGTTACAGGAAGTGATCAAGATGGTATTGAGCAGTTGAAGAAACACTTGTTTAGCCACTTTCAAACCAAAGATTTGAGGCTACTTAGATACTTCCTTGGTATAGAAGTTGCTCAATCCAGCTCTGGTATTGTTATCTCTCAAAGAAAGTATGCATTGGATATTTTGGAAGAAACAGGGATGTTAGATTGCAGACCAATAGACTCTCCTATGAATCCTAATTCAAAGTTCTCACCTAGGCAGGGGGAGCCTCTAGCTGATCCTAGAAGATACTGAAGACTGGTTGGTAAGCTTAATTATCTCACCATCACACGACCCGCTATATCCTTCTTTGTCAGTGTTGTTAGTCACTTCTTATAGTCTCCATGTGATAAACATTGGGATACAGTTGTTCGCATTCTAAGGTATATCAAGGGTGCCCCCGGCAAAGGTTTGTTATATGAAAACAGGCGTCATACACAAGTTGTCAGGTATTCTAATGCTAATTGGGTAGGTGCTCCATCTGATAGATGCTCCACTTCAAGTTTTTGTGTTCTTGTTGGGGGGAACCTTGTATCTTGGAAAAGTAAAAAGCAGATCGAGTGCAGAAGCAGAATATCATGCAATGGCCTTAGCAACTTATGAGCTCATTTGGTTGAAGCAACTAATCCAAGAGGTGAAATTTGCAGAAATATCACAGATGAAGTTACTTTGCGATAATCAAGTTGTTCTCCATATTGCCTCTAATCCGATGTTTCACGAGAGGACTAAACATATAGAAATTGATTGTCATTTTATTCGAGAGAAAATTTTATCCGGTTGTATTACCACTAGTCATGTCAACTCAAACGACCAACTAGCGGATATCCTCACTAAATCACTCAGGGGTCCTCGTATTGGTTTTATTTGTAGCAAGCTTGGTGCATATGATTTATATGCTCCAACTTAAAAGGGAGTGCTGAGTTGTACATAATCATATTAAGATTAAGATGTTGATCATATTAGGATTAAGATCAAGATCACATTAGGATTAGGATCAGAATCATATTGGGATAAAGATCAGTTTTATTAGGAATATGATTATTTCATTTCCTTATTTCATGGATTACTGGATGTATATATTGTTGTATATTGTTCACAAGGAATATTAAGAAAAATCTCTTCTGATTTCACAGATTCTTTGACTTTCCAAAAGTGGAAAGGGGACAAACAGCCGTCAAAATGTCATGGAGTGTTCTTTCCCGAAATGGAAAGTCTTGAATTGGCATTGTCATAGCTTGTCTCCTTGACTTTTTGATCCCATGTGCTTGCACCTTCCCCCATATTTGAACTTTCCCTCCCTTTTTGACTCATTGGTTCCCATGAAATTAAATTGTAGCCAAATGTTGGATTAGAGTTCATGAATTGGGCTTGGCTTGGCTTGGGCACGTGGGCTTATCTTGTATGGCCATTTTGGCTTAGGCCGAATTGTCTTGAGAGGCTATGATTGTTCTCTTGGCTTAGGCCGAATTGCCTTGGACTAATTTCCTCTTGGATTTGTCTTGATCTGCATGAAGGTTGGTGGGCATATTTGCATCAGTATGGAGTAGCCATAAACTAGCCACGCCAGATCTGGCCTGATCCGCGCATGGCAAGGCTAGATCTTGCCTAAGCCACGCATGGCCAGGCCGAATATTGGCCTAAGCCGCGTGGCTTGGCTTCAGACGATGAATTAGCCTCTCAACGACCAGATTCCACCGTCTTTATCCTCCAAGCCGTTCATTGTTTACCGCCAAGCCTTACGACGGCCATGGCTGCCACTTACTACATATTTCTTCTTCTTTTTTAACTTTTGTACTCTAATCTAATGTGCTTGGGTTATTTTTATTGGAATTTGAGAGGAATTGAGCTCGACTTGACCTTGACAAAGCGAGCTTCAATCAAGCTCGAGCCCGACATGTTAAGCTCGACCGAGCTTGAGCTCAAGCTTAACGCTATAGTAGCCAAGCCGAGTTCGAACAGTCGAAGCTCGGCTCAACTCGGCTCATTTACACCCCTAGCACAAACATGATTAAACTAAAAATATTTGAAACATGAAGGGGTTGAAGAATATAAACAAAGATCTAAAGAGTTAATATGCAATTTGATTTGTAATAGGGTGTGTAACATGTGGCGATGGAAGGAAGCCAAAGAATTGTCGATGGATAGATCGGCAACCAAGGAATCTTTTGGGATGGGTAGAAAAACTCACTCGGGCAATGGACAAAATCTAGCAAGCCAACAATGACTAAACTTTGAGTGGCGCATAAAGGACTTTCCGATAGGTTTTTGGACTCGATTCTTTAGGGAAGGTAGGGAAGGTTGTAATCAGCAAGGGAGGAAGCCAACGTGGTGGTTGTGACAGAGGTGCGCAATAATAGGTGGTGGCACATGGGGCAATGGTTTGACATAGTTCTAACAGTTGAAGCCTGGGGTTTTTGTGCTTTCTGATTTTTTAAGAGGATTTTGGATGGGAGAAATTAGGGTTTTTTTTATATGTTTTGAGAAAATCTAGGGTTTTGATTGATTATAGAGTTTTGATAGGAAAGCTTTTAAGAAGAAATCAGAACTTATTTTGATACCAATTGATAGAAGGGCAGAAGGAGAATTTGGTAAAGAATAGAGAAATAGAGAGAATAAGAGAATAGATTGGCGAGAATAGCAAGAGAAAGGGAGAAATTCTAAATAAATTAAGGGAAGAAACAATCCTTAGGAAGAGAACCAATTTCTTATTCCATGTCAAATAACCATGCGTAAAAATAATAATGAAAGAAGCCTTTATTTATAGGCTTAAAAAAATTAAATCCTAATCAAAATATAATTTGAATAATCCTAATTTTAATGAAACAATAGTTTGATAATCCTAATCCTAATAAAAAATTGAAATAAAAGTTTAATTTAACTAAGACAACTCAATCCTAGAAATTATCCTATTCTCCCTACATCACACACGCATTTGCGTGTGTGTTGCTATATAATACAACTAATTCACAAAACATTATTGGAGGAAGTTAATTGACTTTCAATCCAGATATGCAGAGGTTCATGTATGTCTCAGTGTGTCAAAAATAGTACAGCATCCATCCACAAACACAACTTCACTTACCATAACGATGGTCAAGGCTGTTGGGTAGAGCCTGTGAAAAGTCATACACATGATCTTCTTGTTCATCCTTTTGAGCCCCCAGTTTGCTATCGACATTTTCATCAAGGTTTTCAGATAAATAAAAACAGTTAAATCTTCCACGTTTTCCTGCAACCTAGAGGAAGAAAAACAATCCATCAGTTATACAAATTTTCCCTGTATTGATGGTCACATAGCCCTTTATTATAAACCTGTCATTNATATATATATATATATATATATATACACGCCTTTATAAAATTGATATGATATGCCTTTATATATATATATATATATCTATAAATATATAATGCTTTTTCATAAAAAATCAAAAAATTCTCCAACGAACCTTAAAATATACTAAGAGACGTCGACCCACTTCAGGGAATCGATGGCCGCCACATAAATTATGAAAATCTTCAGCATCTTCAATAGCCAATTAATATGAATTTTGAGAAATAAATCTCTCCAGAAAAGATACTTTGGAAGGATGGCATCAGTTCAGTTGTATACAAATACAGTAGACATGGGTGTTAGATTTTAAAAACATTTTATTCATTCATCAGGTAAAGTGAAGGACCGGAGGAATTTCAAGAAATATGGCCAATTGTTTAATGGTGTATCGTGGAATAAACCACTTTGAATTTGACACCTACTTGATAGTGAAAGAATAACTTGTCTTGATGAAATAAAATTAGTCAATTACAGAGAAAACTTTTTCGATATTCTTTGACTGATATAGCTCATTTTCTTTCGCTTCTTCTTTATTCCATCATCAGCATAAAATTAAGCCAAAATCTGGTTTCCATTCATTTCTGCACTCGACACGTTTCATGATCCTTGGAAGAAGCTCTAATTTTAGTCAAAATTCTCCAAGTGTCCTTTGTGTAGACACCTGTGTAGCGCCTGTGCCCACGACTAAGAAGAAATTCTAAGTAAAGGAGAAATACCATGATTCTCTTATTATACATATATAGAACTTTAAAGTCAATTTGCTCTCTTTAAACAGTAGACCCATTTCACTGCTTGGTTGCCAATTGCTTAACGATCGTGGATTACGTATATAGTGATACGAACCTTAATTGTGCTGGTAAGTAAGGTTAATGCATTCATGCAAAAATTAATTTGGTATAAATTCCTGAATGGACTAAACCAATAATTAGGTACTCTTACAATCTATTTCAATAAAGTTTTGGTCTACTTTCGCATATGAATATTTAAAGAAACTTCCCTTTCTCCTTTTCCTCAAGAGACAATGCAAAATTATTAAAGGTAGCTTTTGCAGCACAATGTTAGGCAACAACAAAGTGATGAGATACGAGATATGCCTAGAAAGAGAAGGTCAACGTGTGAAAAGAAGCCTCCAACTTGGATCAAGGATTATAATTAGAATCCGCATATGTTTAGGCTTATGATTAACTTTATTTATGTTATCAGTATTAATTGTATTTCCAATAAGTTTTGGATATGGTGTAAATGACAGAATATAAATATTGAGCTTGAAATAGTTTGAAAGGTAGGAAAATAATCAATCAAATTCTCTTCTCAATTCTCTAATTCTCTAAGGAGGTGTTGTTCCCTCATATTGAGCAATTATGTTAAATCCAATTTGATTCCTATCATTTGGTGCTTTCGTTCATTTCCGTGGAGGAGTGTACCCGATTCAAGATTCTTGACGACCAAATGGCCAAACAGGGAGCCCAAATTGAGGCTCAGGCGGCACAATATATTGACTGAATTTAGTGAACTCCTTCAGGCGATTTCAATGAAATTAGCCACCATTGATGGTAAGTTGGAGCAAGATTGGCGACTTAAAAGTAGGGAAAACGATCAGTCGGGTGGGGAGGATACTTCTGACGGTTCATTTTCGCTATCTAAAGGTTATGGGTCCCATTTTAAACCCTTCAGATTGGGTGTGCCACGTTTTGATGGAATCGATCCATTTGGGTGGAAATTCAAAGTAGAGCAATTCTTTACTTATCATAATACTCCTGATGAGCAACGCTTGACAATTGCTTATTTTCATATGGATGGCCTTGCACTATCTTGGTACTCGGTGGATGCACACAAATGGTCAACTGAGTTCTTGGCTCTCTTTTCTTTAGGCTTTGGTGAATCGCTTTGGTCCTTCAGGTTTTGTGGATTATCAAGGTGAGCTTTCAAAATTGACTCAAACTAGTGGGGTTGCCGATTATATAACTGATTTTGAGTCCTTATCGAATCAGGTTTCCGGGCTTTCTGATTCTTTTCTCCTAAGCTGTTATATTTCGGGACTATGTTCTGAAGTGAAGTACGAAGTGCAATTTTTACTCCAAGAACCCTATAACATGCAATGGGCCTCGCTCGATTATAAGAAGATAAATTAAAGGAGTTACGTCAATCTCTTCGTGGAAATGTAGGGTGGTTTGGGGATGGTTCTCGTTTTCTGAATACTCGATCTTCATCATTACCACTGTTGTTACCCACACCACCTGCTATTCCTCGATCTTTAGATACAATGATAGATCGATCACCTTCCTTGCCTATTTGACGCCTCACGACTGCTCAAATGCAAGAACAACAGGATAAGGGTCTTTGTTACAATGGCGATGAATGGTTCTCCCTTGGACATCGCTATAAAGCAAAATTTTATTTATTAATGATTGCTGATGATGATGATCCTGATGATATGACTCTACCACTTGAAGATACTGCTATCAAAGCCAACTCGGACATAGTCAAGATAAGCCTTCATGATCTTATGGGTCAGTGTCATCTGAGTATTATTTGCCTCTTGGGTTTAGTATTGGGTCACTCTGTTGAGGTACTGATTGATGGCGGTTCGACACATAATTTCTTACAAGAACGTGTTGCACTTCATTTGGGCATTCCAATAGTTAAATCTCATAATTTCACTATCATGATTGGGAATGGAGATACCTTGCAGTGTTCGGATTTATGTTCGACTGTGACCTTGGATTTGGGAGGTCATCGTTTCCCAGTTGATTTTTTCGTTCTCCCTATTCGTGGTGCTGATATGGTATTAGGTGCTCAATGGCTTTCTACATTGGGTCCAGTGTTAATGGATTATAAGAAGCTAACACTCACTTTTGCATGGAATGGACAAACAGTGACTTTATTGGGACGCCAACCAATTACTATTGAGCCTATTTATCTTCATCAATTGGAGTGTTATCAGCATGTGCACTCCATTGAGGCATCTTTTCAATTGTTTAATCTTGAGATTGAGTCTGACACCTTACCACCAGATCACACTGTGTTGTTACCGCCGCCTTTACATGAAGTTTTGGATTGTTATACATCAGTTTTTGAGACTTCCACTACTCTTCCTCCTCCCTGTCAAACCGACCACCAAATCCCCTTCGGAATGGTTTTGATCCTGTTTGTGTTCGTCCTTACCGATAACCCCATTTTTAGAAAGGGGAGTTGGAACGACTAGTGTGTGAGATGTTGTCATCTAGATTCATTTGACCCAGCCATAGTCATTTCTCTTAGTCAAGAAATGTTACGGTTCATGGCGTTTCTGTGTGGATTATCAGGCACTCAATCGTCTCACCATACCCGATGAATTTCCAATCTCAATGGTGGATGAACTTTTGGATGAGTTCTGTGGTGCAAAAATCTTCTCTAAAATTGATCTTCGATCGGGTTATCGCCAGATTCGAATGAAAGAATTTGACATTGAAAAGACAGCTTTCTGGACTCATGAGGGTCATTACGAGTTCATCGTCATGCCCTTCTAATTTTCCAATGCCCCCGCCACTTTTCAGGCTAAATGAATCAAATTTCAGTTTTTTCCTCTGACAATTTGTCATTGTATTTTTTGAAGACATCTTGTTTTATAGCAAGACTTTGTTAGAGCATGCAAAACATCTCACCATAGTACTTTGTTGCTTGTGGGATAATATATTTTATGCTAACCGCAAGAAATGTATTTTTGGAGCTAGCAAAATTGATTATTTAGGCCACATTGTCTCAGCAGCTGGGGTTGAGCCCGATCCCTCCAAAATTAAAGCAATGTTGGATTGGCCACCACCCACCACCATACACCAATTAAGAGGGTTCCTAGGGTTGACCGGATATTACTGCAAATGCGTCCGCTCATATGCTAGTATTGCCACTCCACTCACAACCTTATTGCAAAAAGACAAATTTTTTTTGTCAACGGAAGTGCAGGCAACATTTGAAAAATTAAAATTCTCCATGACCACCACTCCGGTTCTTGCACTGCCTGATTTTCAAGTTCTATTTGTAGTGGAAACAAGTGCCTCTGGTAGTGGTGTAGGCGTAGTACTGATGCAACATGATCATCCAATTGCTTTCTCTAGTAAGCAGCTTTCTTCGAGACTCTGGCGTGCTTCTGCCTATGTTCGAGAATTGTATGCGGTTACTAAAGCTGTTATTCATTGGCGACAACACCTTTTGGGACTTAAATTCATCATTCGGACAGACCAACAAATCATCTGCCATTTGCTCTCACAGGTTGTACAGACTCTAAGACAACAAAAATATTTGGTGAAGCTACTTGGGTATGATTTTACAATTAGCTACAAATATGTAAAAGAGAATGTTGCAGCTGATGCTTTATCCCGCAAATTTGAAGATGAAGCACCAGTTGAGGCTAACACTTTTTTCACCTTGTCAATGCCAATCCTGGAAATTTTTAATCAAATTTGCTCTTCTTTACAAGATGACGCCTACTGCAGTGAAAAACTCAAGTTGCTTAACGATAATCCTTCTTTGTCAAAGGGTTTTTAAATTCATAATTGAATGTTGTTATTTAATAATAGTATAGTGGTCCCAGCATTAGGTAATTTTCGCTATCAACTTTTGGAAGAGTATCATTCCTCACCTTTGGGAGGACATGGGGGAATGCGTAAAACTTTAAGTAAATTGGTTTTGTCTTTTTTTTTTTTTTTTTTTGGCCAGGGCTAGTTACTGATGTTAAACAATTTGTACGTGCGTGTCACGTTTGTCGCCAAGCAAAGTCAGAAACAAAGATGCCTGCCGGATTGCTACAACCGCTCCCAATTCCCCAACAAATTTGGGAAGAGATAGCCATGGACTTTATTACTAGACTTCCTTTATCCTCTGGCTTTTCAATAATCTTTGTGGTGGTTGACTGTTTATTTAAATATGCTTATGTAGTGGGTTCACGGCTTCTAAAGTAGCTCATTTTTTTGTCCACATAATTTAAAAGCTTCATGGATTACCGAAGATAATTTTGAGTGACCACAATCCTGCTTTTTAAAGTAAATTTTGGCAAGAAATTTTTGCACTTAGTTGTACAACCCTTAAACACAGTTCTGCGTATCATCCGCAAACAGATGGATAAATGGAAGTAACTAATAGATTTTGGAACAATATTTGCGATGTTTTTGTATGGATAATCCAAAAAAGTGGGTTGAATACCTTCCTTGGGATGAGTTTTACTACAATTCATCATTTCATACTATTATAGGTACTACCCCTTTCAAACTGGTATATGGCAGGGATCCACTGTCGGTAGTACCTTATACTCTAGGAAGTTCACCTATTGAAGCTGTCGATTCGGAATTGATCAAACGTGACAAGTTGCTTGTTGCTTTAAAGGAAAATTTAATTAAGGCTCAATCTCGCATGATTGGACAGGCTAACAAGTGTCGATGTGAATTAGAGTTTAACCAAGGTGATTTTGTGTATGTTAAATTGCAGCCTTATCGGCAATTTTTTGTTCGGGGCGGGTCTTATTCCAAGCTATCCCGTTGCTTCTATGGGCCTTTCAAAGTCATTAAGCGTATTGGGAAAGTTGCCAACCGTTTGGAGTAGATGGACCCACCTTCCTTTGATTTGGAATCGGAATTGGAACCGTTGGTTTCGGTTCCGAGTACGTTAAAAAATATCAATTACCCCCGATTTAAAAAAAAATGACAAATAAACCCTTATAAAATTACAATTGCACCTCTAACAATTA